CTTAGGAGAGACTGGGCTATGCCTCCATTCACTGGGGGCAAAGGGCAAGTGTGGGTGACGGCACCTCCCCGGGCTTTTCTCCCTCCGTCTCAGTGCAGCGGAATGGAGAGGCAGGGTCTGTTTTCCACAGGGCATTTCAGGCCTTGACGAAACCTGAGAAGCAGACTAGCACGTCCCTGTGATGCTGGGATTTATGCTGTGATGTGATTTTTTTTTAAAACCTGCTGTCCATGTATAGTTGGCATGGGGGAATAATATTTTTCGTCAAATTCACTGTAACTCAAAATATTGCCAATGATTTATTTAAAGATATTAATTCAGTCATCTTTAATTCATATTTAACTCGTTCATAATTCGTGCTAATTTATAATATCCCTGACAAGTCTGCTTGAACATCTCATGCTGGAGGATTTGCTACTTTTGAAAGAGCTCATCTTATTGACACAGTAAAAATCTTTCTCTCCAGTCTGCACTTTTGTTCCAGCCGCTGGAGTCTCTATGGAAGCCTTTCAAAGAACTGCCTTCCATTTCTCTTCTCCAAGTGAAGCCGTTTTCTCAGCCAGAGGTCAGCATGGTTTAATAGAGAGACCATGAGCTTTAGAGCCGGGCTGGTTTGGGATCCTGGCTTTGCTGCTCCCCAGCAAACTACAGACCCACCCAAGCCACACTCGTTCATCTGCACATTTGGGGTAATAATTCCTACCCCAGAGAGTTGCGACCATTTGTAATATGTTAACACTTACGGAGTGCTTACCACCATTCTCAGCGTTTAACCTGTGTTAACACAGCAATCTTGAGAGAGGCTGCTGTTACTGATCTGCATTTTACAGATGAGGAAACTGAGGCAGAGAGGCATTACAGAACTCGTCTGAAGCTACACAACTCCTAAGTGGCAGAGCTGGGCCTCGACCCCAGGCACTCCGGCTCTGCTGTTTCCGGTAAGAGCAGCGCTTGGGCTGACAGTTGGTCTGCACTAGAAAAATGACAGCCATTGTCACTATTTTTGAAGGCTCACCGTCCTGCTCTCCCAGACCTCGATCCTTCCATCCCCAGCCTTTCATAAGTGTTTGTCTGAATAACACCGGATGTGCCTGAGTGGTGCGGAATGATTTGCCCCCATGTTTTTACAAGTTAAAAAAATGTTTGTGGTTCTTCCTCCTGCCTCATCTTAGAGTCTGATAGTGTAGTCGTTGCCTCAGGTGAATTTCTAGCTTATCAAAACCTCCCATGTTCGAAGGGAATTTGGAGAAAGGAAACGAGCTGCTCTGAGAACAGGAACGTGGGGATTTGGGCTGTTCTCTGGTTTTTCTCCTGTGTAGCAGGATGGATGGTGTGGTAGAGTGGCCAGGCCCCTGCAGTGTCAGCTCATTTGGGGGTAGAGGTTCCGAGAAGAGGAACCATGCTCTGGGGGTTCTTTGGGTTCTCTTTCGCAAAACTGCCGGGGGCAAAAGGGGTGCATGCCCACTCCCAACTTCTGCTTTCCGGGGCCCGGGGTGAGAACGCTGATGAAGGCCCCTCCCTCCTCCCCCCACCCTTAGCCCCACCCAGCACTGTGAGGGCCCTTGTGTGCACCTGGGCACCTGCACACCCACAGCCTTCCCAACCCCTCCAGCCTCGACCACACCTTCAAACAGCCGCCCTCAGCCTCCCCTCGCACCTAAGTGTGCAGAGGCTCAGCGGTGTCGTTCACCTTCCGAAGGACAGGACCGCCAGAGCCCTTGTAGACTCAGGGCCACTCAGATGGGGAATTCTGACGTCTTGGGCACCGGAGCATAATCTAGAAGGTGTGCGTGTGGAGTTCAGGCTCCAGGCGGCTCTGGATTCCTTGCCATGTGGGAAGGGGTACAGGTGGGAGGGGAGGACAGAGCAGTGCCCTCTAGTAATCAGAGCCAGGGCAGGGGTCCTGGCTGCCCGGGTCTGAGGGGAGTACCAGAGAGTACCAGCCGAAGGGCAGGGCCAGATCCACTGTCACCGCGTGGCAGCCTCCCTCTCCTTCCCAGTTGCTCCAGTGGTCTCAGGCTGGGGCTGTATTCTCTCACACTCACTCTCCTCTCACCACTTGTGGGCTTCCAGGCTGCTGCAGTTCTTTTGGTTGCCTCCGTTTTGTTTTACGAACCTGATCTCTGCTGCTCTTGGGTCGTGGCTGGGGCAGTGCTAGCGTGTGTGGGGCGGCACGTCGGGGGCACCCCTGTGGATCTGGGCACTTCTGGTTTGTGTGTGGGGGGGAGGTGAGGGGAAGGAAGGCAGCGACTTACACCGCAGCGGTCACCCCTTCCTGCCTCCTGCAAGACACGCAGCTTGCGTATCCGGCAACAGGCTCTCTGGGCTCCCACAGTTTATCCCGTTTTCTCCAGATTAATTTTTTCCAGACCGGGCTGAGCTTTCTCCTCAGAGCTGAGCGTGCTATTGCTTCACTTATCAACCTCTGAGCCCTGCTTTCCTCCTCTCCACAGCGGCACTTATTTTCTGACCCCCAATCAGGTCCCCCTGCCTTCTACTAGTGTATTCACTCCCAAATGAAGTTACCACATTCACATGCAAAAATATTCCATCTTCCCCAGTCTTCCTTCCTCCCTCTCCGCCTCACGTTATCCATCTGAGCACAGCAGGGTCATGACTGACTTAGAGGAGTGACGGGGAGAACACCTGCCCCCAACCCCACAGTGTGGGTGAAGCCAGGGCTTCCAGGACCCCACGTGACACAGCAGCCAGCATTACGAAAGAAACAGCACCCAGCCGCCTCTCCTGCTTCACCTACCTCTTGACCTCTGCAAGCTGTGGAAATGGAATTATGTGCTGAGTTCAGTGTTTATTTCCTGATCATTTCTCCAAGGACTGCTCAGGTGATTAAAGATTTTGAAATGAATGACTGGGTGAGCTGGGAGGGTGACTACAGCTGAGGGTCTTCTTACCTGGACCCCCCAAGAAGTCAAGAGTAGTCATCTCTGACCAACAACAGGGCATCAGGGCCTGGTCTTTATTACAGGGGAAGCTCTTTGCAGATGGAACACTGGATGGGTTATGGGATGAAGAAGGGAGCTAGAGCACACAGCCTCTCTCCCTCTCTCTCTCTCTCTCTCTCTCTCACACACACACACACACATACACACACACACACAGAGTCACACTCAAATATTCAAATACTTTACTCCCTTAACTTCACTGAAGTTTCAATGAGTGAATAGAATCCAGTTTCAAAAGCCTTTAACCACCTTTGGGAACCTAAGTACTTGTTCTTAGTGTACCAATGACATATCCTCTCTGAGACAAAAATGTCTCATTCCCAGACAAATAAAGCAAGTATAGGGATATCTACATTCTTCACAGAAATCCTAGGAAATCCTGCAGGAGAAAGGGAAGCCACACGGCTTTGCTTCCCTCCCCCACCACGCACCTGGCATTCCAACCTCAAAGCCTTCCATCACTGCATTTCCTCAGCTTCAGACCCCCTCTCTCTGTGCCCACTCCCCCGTCTCACATGCCAGATCTGCCCATCTAAAGTGTACCTATATTCCTGGGTCCATCTCAAATACTGCTTTGGCCAGGAAGTCTCTGATCCCCCAGGAGAATCCAGCTTTCCATCCCTGTGTTCCTATAGACAGCACTTTCTTTTAGCCCTTACTGTGACATTCAACTCACTGTCCCATGACTCATTTGCCTTGTGTACATGGCGCTGTCCCCTTCTAAATGTCAGGAATGTGTTTGTGATCCCAGCACTCAGGATAGAGCTAGGCACACGACACGCATCATAAAATAAATTGCTGATGTCCACTGGATTTGCCCATTTCCTTGTTGATGCTTTTGTCCTTGTGACAGACAGAAATCTTGGTCTTTGCTCCCTCTAGCCGTGTTCTCAGGAGTCCTCGGGTTTGGGTGGGGACGAGATGACTCGTTTCATAGAGTATTTTCATGAAGTCCTTGCCCCCAGCCCCTTCTGTTTTTCTAGTGCCCAGAAGCACACACTTCAACATATTTCCCCCCAAATCCTGGGCTACCCACACATTATTTTATCGTCCAAATTGAAAAGGCAAGTTGCTTTAATAAAGAGAATCTCTCTGTAAATGTCTAATACCAGCGTTACACATAGATACACTACCATGCTACTATTTGTTCTTTGTGGGTGTTTACTTGTTCATTTATTTTGTATTTTGGAGACATGGAGGGCTTACAGTTCAATTTTTATTAGCCCATGGGTCCTCAATATCAACATCAGTAAGTTTTCTTTCTAAAGGGCAAAGAGAGACTGATGTGACTACTTTTGAAGAAAAGCATTTTTCTGTTTTCTGAAAAAGGTAACTTCTCAAGGCTACTCAGGATTGAGTAGGCAGCTTTTGATTTTGTGGCAAGGCCTGAGTGTTTGCACTGTGTGTGTTAACAGAAAGCAGGGCCGGGGACGCTGGGGCCGTGCAGTTCACATTTGCAGCCTTAAATCTCAGACGCTACTGGGAATTTCCAACAAAATCACAAAACGATTGACAGTTCCAGAGGCTCTTTAAGCAGACATGTTTGTATAATGATTATTTATGGTATTAAAATAAGCACACAGTAGGTGCCTACATGACCTGTGTTTTGATCCCAAACTAGGTCGCCAAAGAGAACAACCGTAGCACCTCGGTCAAAACTGGCAGCTGGATGGGTAGATTGTTCGATCCCCACTCTGAGCAGCCTCAAGAAAGGACTACTGTGCCGTGACCGGAACGGAATTGTTATGAGAAATGCGTCACCCTTCAGATGGTCCCATACACTGGGGCTTAAGGAAGAATTCATCACGCATGTCAACGTGCTGACCACTCCTTAGAATGAATGGAACTTGGTTAAGGTAGAGTCCTGTGGGAATTCTGACTCCCTGCCTTCTCTCCTCAATGTTATGAACAATAAGAAACCCCACACCTGAAATCCTGGCGATCCCCTCAAAACAGACTCTCGGTACTCTTTTCCCTTTAGGACAGATTTTACCGGAGTCTCCCATTCCCCTTCCCACCCCACAACTCCCCCTTGAAAGATCAGACTCCAGCTTCCAGGAATTTGGGTTTCAGGAACCACATTTCTACAGCATCTCTTAATCTTCCATCTAAGCCAACGAAAAACGCGGCCGAACGATCCCCCTACTTGCTGGCCCAGAGCCTCAATCAAACCGGCATTCCGATTGCCAAAGAGTGAAGGGGGAGAGGCTGCAGGGGAGTCCCCAGTCCCAGTAGCCTGTCTACTCAGACCTGTTCAAGTTGCTCCTGGGCACAGCTCACTTGCAGCGCGCAGACCCGAACGCAAGGAGTGTCTCCAGGTACCCACACGGCTCTCAGGGGAACCCAGACGCCCAGCTTCCAGCGCGCGGCGCAGTCGCTGCTGGGGGACCCAGAGAGCCCCCTTTCTCCTTTAGGGGTCGTAGCCTGAAGAGGTCCCTCTATTCAGCCCCTCGAACTACACTGCGTCCGCTCCCTCCCGCAGAGACTCCACTCCCCCGCGAAGGGGCTCTCACACGCACCCCGGAGGGTTTTGGTCTCGGCGACCTATGAGCGCAGAGGCCATGCAGGGTCTCAGTCGGGCTCCGCGTGTGTCCGCTCTCCCCATCCCAAGTGACAAACCATACACGCCACGGGAGGTGGCTCTCTCGCGGTGCATTTCTCCTGAGGGCGGACCAAGATTGTCACTCCTTCCTTCTAACTCCGAAGAAGTTTGGTCCCGTACTCTAGGCTCTCCGCCCAGCCAAGCAGCAAATCAGGCCTTCGCGCCTGGGCAGCCCCGGAGCCAAGGTGCAAAGGTTTTGTGAGTGGCTTACCCGACTGGATGCACCTTGAGGACCCTTTCAAGAGCTGGGGCGGGGGTGGGTAGTCGCTGGAATAAGTGCGCTCAGTTGTCTGCGCACCACTTGGCTGAGGCCCTCTTCCTTGTCCCCGAACTGCTTTACATTCCTGATGCCTTTCTCGGCTTCTGGGCGCGCCACACAGCCCAGCGCTGACAGCATAAGGAGAGGAAGGGGTGTGTGTGGAGACCAGGGGGACGGAGGCTGGTGGCTTGGTCCATTGAGGCTGGTCTCGGCCACTTTGCCCCCTTCCTCTCTCCACCTGGGTTCGCAGCCTCCCCTCTCCGGAGAAGGTCCCCTGGCCACTTCGTAGGCTGCTCTTTTGTGTTTCTCTCTCTCCTCGTCCCTCCTACCTCTTGATCCGGGGGCCCCCAGCATCCTCTAATCCGCTCTACTCTTTTCCGCCGAGGGAAGGCCACTTGGCAGTTCCTGCGTACCCCGGGCCTCAGCCTGCGTCAGTAGGCGGAGCTGCTGGGCAGCAGGTCGTAGCGCCCCTCGCTGTAGACCACCACGCCGGGCGGAGAGTAGAGCATGTCGGGCTCCGCGGCCTGGTGGAGAGGCGCCAGGGCCTGCCGGTCTGGTCCTCGGGCTCCGACTTGGTGGCGGCGGAGAAAGGGCGCATTGCTAGTGAGAGAAGGCGACGCGAGGCGCCGCAGTAGATTCTCGAGCGCATTGCGGAACTCGCGGCGCACGAGGCAGTAGAGGATGGGCTTGAGGCAGCTGTTGGAGTGCGCCAGGCACACGCTCACCCGGAGCGCGTATACCTGGCACAGGAAGTACTCTCGGCTGAAGGACACCGCGTTGAACTTGATGAGGATGTTCCAGGTGGTGAGTGCCTGATTAGGCAACCAGCACAGGAAGAAGGATAGGACCACGACGGTCACTGATTTGGTGGCCTTGGAGCGTCTCCGGGCGCTGGCTCTGGCCAGGCCTCCCCCGGCTGCTGAGGCTCCTACTTCGGTCCCTGCCCGCGGTGGTCGGAGATGAAGCGCACCAGCAGCAGATAGCACAGGCTGATGATGCCCAGCGGCGGCAAGAAGCCCAGCAGCACCTTCTGCAAGTGGTAGAGGCCCAGCTAGGACTGCCTGTCGCGGCCTAGCAACTTGTCCGGGAAGTGCACCAGGCACAACTCCTCGCGCATCACCTTGATCGTGGTGGAGAAGATGGCTTTGGGCAGCGAGGCCAGCGCAGATCAACACGCGCAGTGCTTTGGCCGAGAAGCGGCAGCTGTCCCCCAGGCTCCGGCCGCAGCAGTCACCCCCGCCGTGCCCTCGGGTCCGGTGGCTCTTAGGAGCCAAGGCCACCGAGTGGTAGCGCGCCACGCTCGTGGAGGTGAGAAAGAAGACGCTGGCGTACATGTTCATGGACGTCACTGTGGATACGATCTTCCACGTGGCCTTGCCAAAAGGCCATCTGAAGTCGAGGGAGTTTTCCACAGCTCAGAAGGGCAGGGTGAGCACGAACTGCATGTCCCTCAGCACCAGCTTGGTGACGAAGAGGTTGATGGAGGACTTGCGCCAGCCCTGCTTACTCTTCATCAGGTAGAGCACCAGGAGGTTGCCCGTCAGCCCCAACGCGCAAACCGCCCAGTGCACCACGCTGATGAGGATCCTCACCCGCGCCTGGGTGTCCGCGCTCTCTGCCCCGCCGCCGCCCGGATGATGCCCTGGCGCCGTGCCGGCTGGCAACTCTAGCCCCAGCTCCCACGACAAGTCCTGGAGCTGCAGTGACGCGTTGCCGCTAGTGTTGGTCGCCTGCAGAAGGTCCGGCATCAGACTGAAGAGTTCTGCGAGCTCGTCCCCGCCAGCCACCTTATTCATGGTGGCTTTCGCGGCTGCAGCGGCCACCTGCCTGCGCAGGTGCCTCTAGGTCAGGTTTCGGGAGATAAGCCTTAAGGGAGTCCAGCTCTCCCGGGGTTCCGGCGTGCCTGGGGGTTTTCAAAGCAGACGCGGAAGAGAGCGCCTAGGACCAGGGCGCCAGGCGCGTCCCCGGCGAGCGGAGCTTGGCCTTGGGCGCGGGAGTTGCGCGGAGCGTCTGTTCTGAAGGGGAATTCGAGAGCCTAGGAGCACAGCATCTAAGGCGAGCGGTCGGCGTCTAGAGGTTCTCCGGCCAAGGTGGCAGTCTCCGGGTCCCTACTGTAAGAGTCAGACTTTGCCCCCTGCGTTTCCCGCTGTCACTTGGTCACTAGCGCATACCCGCCCTGCCGCTCAAGGCCGCTATTGGGGGCCCTCTCCTTCTCTTTCAAATACCTTTGTCGGTTTCCTCGGCAGTTGCGTGGACGAGGCTTCTGAACAGAGTTCTGTCTACCTCGCTCTGACTCTCTGCAGGGCTTTCGATGCTGCCCTCGCGGCTTCGCGTCTCCGTCTCTCCGCTGTTGTCAGCTCCCAGGGAATTGCCAGCAGCGTTCCCGCGAGTTGCATGCCCACCCGCCAAACCGAGGCCGCGGGCTCCCAGGGAGCCTGCGTAACCCCCGCGCCGTGAGAGGGGGCGCTTTCCGAGGTGCTGAACTTCGCCGCGCCCGCCGCGGGGGAGCGGGGAGAGGTGCGCGGCAGTAAGAGCCCAGCGGCCAATTTCCCTTTTCCTCTTCAGCTTGAAAAGGAAATGGTCGTAACCCTTTATTTTCCTATGTTGCTGGAGAAAGTCGGCTTTGATTTGCGATCGCTTTTCCTTTCTTATTCTCAAACATAACTATTAGAATTTTTTCTTTCTCACTCCCAAATGCACAATCTTCTGCCAATTTTTCTTTTCTTTTCTTTTTTTGCGGTATGCGGGCCTCTCACCGTTGTGGCCTCTCCCGTTGCGGAGCACAGGCTCCGGACGCGCAGGCTCAACGGCCATGGCTCACGGGCCCAGCCGCTCCGCAGCATGTGGGATCTTCCCGGACCGGGGCAAGAACCCGTGTTCCCTGCATCGGCAGGCGGACTCTCAACCACTGCGCCACCAGCGAAGCCCCCATTTTTCTTTTTAAAAGCAATGATAGTGGCCTCTTTTTTCCTGCCCAGACCTTAAATCAGATGAGGGCTCTTCCTGAATACACAAACGCCAGCTCCACTTCCCCTTAATTAGCTGACCCCTTTAATTGGTGTCTGTGACTGTCAGGATTTTCAAAGCGTCTTCACATAACAAATCTCTGAGTTCATGTGTTGCCCTCTGCTTTGGTGTATTCTGAGAACTGAAGCGAAGCAGAGCATGTAATTGGTGTGCCGACTTTACAGACATTAGATGTTTAGCTCTCAGCCCAGAGCTCTTCAACAGATTGTTTACTCATATACAACCACACTCTACCTTGATGCAGTTGGAATAGAGGATTTCATAAGGCTGTTTTTTGGCCACAAGCCCCCCATTTCCACTACTATTATAATCAGAACTCTTAACCGGTGATTTTTTTTTTTTTCCCAGACCAGTGGAAGTAAATTCTAAGGAATCTTTTAAGTTCCTTTGGGCAACGGGAACCAATATAAACCATTTGAATTACTTCTTAAATTGAAGTTTATTTAAATATCAGATCAACCGCTCTGGTGTAAAATGTACATTTCTTAGGATAAACTTAAGAAATTTGAAATGTTTTCCTCACTGTCCGGGACTAAACTGAAACAAAAGTATCTTACGCGTAACTGTCCTCACTCTTGCAGAGCTCGTGACTTTACTTACAGAGATAAAGAGTTTGTGCCTTGAAAGCAGAGGTGATAGAAAAAGCATAGTGAAAAAGAAACCGCGGTACCCAAAACATATGAAGGGAAACGGAAACAATCTTGATTCCCAAGCGGGAACACAGTTCCGGAGAACACGCTTCACGGTAGTCTCTGGTCTACTCCGTTTACCCGCTAGAGGGCGCCAAGGCTTTACTCAAAACCAAAACCAAACCAAACCACTTCCTTTGAGAAGTTCTGATCTGGAGAAACTCAGCTCTGCGCGGAACCGATACACAGGTCGCTTCTGTTTACATCTCTTATCTCTGCTTTAGTAGCCTCATCTTCAAGTTTACTTTTCACTCAAATTTTTACTAGCTCTTTCTCCATCAGATTTTTATTTCTCCTTTATTTAAAAAAAGTTTAAAAAATATTTCAAGGTGCTGTTGCAAAACAAGGAAGCTTAGGGCATGCCCTGAAAGCCTTTTGCCTTGGTTTCCTAGTATGTACGTGGGAGGAATTGTGGTTTTCAAATATTCTGAGGATAGGTGCTGATTATATTTCAATATAAGTTGCTGCTCTCCTCCCAGCCCCATGCGGCCACAGAGATTCCGATTCTCAGTGGAGTCGGAAAGGGGCTCAACAATCTACATTTTACAAACATTCTTCCAGGTGATACTTATTTTCCCCCAAGTTTGGGAACATCTGGATTAACTTTTATTCCTTTTCTGTCTCTCCATGTGAAAAAATTTAAGTCCCAAAGAAATATTAATGTCCACTGGTGGTTGATCACATACTAGGACTGGAAGCAAAGGAAGAGAAGGGGGTCTCAACAGGTTTCCTTAAAATCACATTTAGGCCCAATAGTGATATTTTCTTCACTGTAGGACAGGGGGGACCATGAGCTCCTGAGGTCTGCCAGGCCTTGAGTACTTGGCAGCAGGACTCAGACTGAGCCCCTAGGAGAGGCTCTTCCCAAGTGTGACTCCCGGAGAATGCTGCCAGAGTGCTTCCGGGCCTAGAAGGCTCTTCATTTCCAAATCTGTTCTCTGAAAATGAAGCACACGTGTGAGCAGGAATTTATAGCATCACTTAATTAAGTCTGTGTCATGGAAGGAAAAAATCCCTTTTCAAATAAGTTCTTTTTCAGTATGACCTTAAGATATTTTAGACCATTTTTCTTAAAGGCAAGGGCCATGTTTTTCTCAACCAGCATCTAAAATATTCAAAGAGAGAGGCATATCAGTCATGGTCAAATATCATTTAGGTATACTGTTAAAATATTACCAAAATCTTACCATACAAATTCCTAACGTAAAATTTGGAAAATTGACAATGTTGTCAAATTGTATGTTGATCCATAAGGTTGATCCTTATGGAGAAATTAAAAGGGGATTTTTTAGTTGGTTTTAACCCAGCTGTTACCCCTCCTCCTGCCCCATTAATCTAATTGTGTGTCAAGTTTTATTACTGAGGATCCACACTTGTCAGTCTGTTTTCCCAAGTTAGTACCTTTGCTAACAATGTTCTTGTGCAAGTTCTTCCTCTATTGTCATCTCTCTCTTCCCCCACTTCAACATATTTCGATGTTACTTACACTGTTTAATATTACTGACAAAAGGTTACTGTCTGGGGGGAAGCTTTCTGAATTCTCCGAGAAATAGGTATTGATCTTTTCCCCTCTCAATTATCACAGAACCCTCTATCAGCACACCTGTTAAGGCATGCCTCCCTATCAAGAAGTGCTGTGGCTCTTTCTGAATATGTCTCATCTTGTTTAAGAGTGTCAGCCTGGCAGGGCAGAGTGTGTATCATCATCATCGTTGTTTGCCCTTAGTGCTGGGCTCAGACTTTTCACATGTATGGGCACAGGACACACTTATTGATTGGACTCTGCATTCAGATGCAATCTTCCTACTAAGGCAATTCCTTCAAAGGTAACTTACAAGTTTCCCCTAACTATCTACTCCTATAGAATATCCAAGTCTAACTCCAGGGAATTGATTTATTTAAAAAACCTTTCATTTTTACCTAAGCTAGACCTCCATCTATAAAGCCACCTGCACATTAAAACCACTTAAAAATATTGATGCCCAGTGCCGACCTTACACCAATAAAATGGGAATCATTTGTTAAGAGTAAGATATGTGGTTCCATAGGGCTTATTATAAAAAATTGCAGCTCCCCTACAGCTGGACCATCCATATTTCTTTTGCCCAGAGGCACATTCGAATCTTTTAACCGATTCTTTTGCTATATACTGCATAACTCTGGTTGAAATACTTATATTGGTATTTTATTTTTTCATTGTAGGCATTAATAGTTTACTCCCTACCATGGAAGGTGAAAGTTTAGCTTTTTTCTCACACATCCTCTCCTTCCACTTCTCCCAACATTCTGACACCCTCCAGTTTATTTATATTGTACTTTTGAAAGATCCGTCCCCAGCATTTTCACTGTAATGACTATGTAAACATTAACAACTGAGCCATATATAGTATATGATTGTTATTCTTTTCTTTCACAACTTTTTGTCTCCATTGGAATTAATAATTATCTTTGTTACTAAGGTAGGAAAGACCAAGTAGAAGCTACTAGAACTGCTTCTACCTACCAAAATAGTAAACCAAAACCATACCACCCACCGGAAGGAATCTTGGAGGAATAAGTGTTATCATCAAGGATTTCAAAGACGCAGAGGTGGAAGTGAAGCAGCAGCTATTTCCATTTAGGACAACAGGCACTGCTGCATCTTGCCCACATTTTCAGTGATCTGCTGGCTCACTTCTTCGGGGTTGGGCAGCATCTGGGGTCACAGCTCCTGCAATGCCCACCAGATCTCTTCCTTCAACTTTTTTGAGTCATCAGCCAGCCACATATGCAGCTCCATGCCGTGTCATCTTCTCCTGCAGGCCTCTCACTGGCGATATCGGAGGCAGTGAGAGACAGACGTGGACTCAAGTTTGTTTTCATAGGTTCCAGAAGAAGAATATTTGTTTTAAAAAGGAAGACAGCAGGGTAATATGTCTGGAGGTGGTTGAAAGTCCTCTTACTCCAGCTCCAAAGACTAGTTGGCCAACAGATTTAGGTAGGTTGTTCCAGCAGGCGAAGAGCAAAGAACCAAAGTTGACCCTGGGTGGGAGACCATGCTGGAAGGAATGGCACACGATGAGAACAGGACGAGCAAGTGTCAGATCACACAGAGCCTAGGAGACCATGATTGAGAGTTTGGATTTCATTCGAAACTCAAGAGCAAGCTACTGGAGGGATCTAAGTAGGTTTAGAGATGCTGTTGGTGCCCTGCCCATCTCCCCTCCTTACATGCCATTTCCCTAGTTGCCAACTTGACCTTCAGATACCAGCTCCTGTGACTCTTTCCCAGTGGCCTTTCTCTGAAGCTGCTTTGCTTGTTTGTGGGGCTGCCTATAGGTGGTGCCTAAGGTGGACTTAATCTCCCACTCTCACCTCTCAGAGGAGCCTACAACAAATGACTGATGGAAGTTGGTGTATAGGTACCCCAGCTTCCTTGTCCCTTTGTCAGAGTAACTCTGATTATGTGTTTTAACTTATTCCCCAGAGTTTAGAGATAAGCTTTAGCTGGCAGAGTGGCAACTTGTTTGACGATACATGCTTATTGGGTTTCTCCCGTTCCCTGTCACACTTAACTTTCAGTGTCTTCAGGGGCCTCCTTCCAAATAAACTACTTTCACTAGAATTTTTGGTTCTGGATCTGATTTGGGGAGAGTCCAAATCAGAACAGCAGGGGAATTGGACTGTTCACAATCCAGTTCACACATTATAAAGACCATACTGATTGGTGAAACAGTTATAAGGCATGAAGGGTGCAAACTGGGAGCCTGGAAAAAGACTACTGCAACAGTCTAGGTGGGAGATGGTGGCATCTTGCCTTAGTCGATTCAGGCTGCTATAACAAAAACACCGGAGACCAGGTAAAGGAAACAACAAACGCTTATTTATTACAGTTCCAGATTCTGGGAAGTCCAAGATTAAGGCACTGGCAGATTTGGTGTCTGGTGAAGGCCTAGTTCATAGAAGGTCATCTTCTATTCTTCTATGCTGGGTCCTCCATTGCAGAAGGGGCAAGAGAATTTTCTGGGGTCTCTTCTATAAGGGCACTAATCCCATTCATGAAGGCTCTATCCTCGTGACCCAATCTCCTCTCAGAGGTCCCACCTTCTAAAACCATTACATTGAGGGTTAGGATTTCAACCCATGAATTTTGATGGGACATAAACATTCAGTCCAGCTTAAGGGTGGTGACTGTGGAGGTGGAGAGAAGTCCTGACTTGAATTTTTATTTGGACAGTAGAATCACCAGGATGTGGTAATGATGATGGGTTGGAAGGGGTTAGAGGTGAGAGGAAAAGTAGTTTCCAATATGTAGTAGTTTCCAATCCTAGGTGGTTAACAGACATTTAGTGTGATGGAAAGACTGGAAAATGAAAAGACTTTGGTAGAAGATCAAGAGATTTCTTATGGACATATTGCCTTTTTGACCTCCAGTTGGAGAAGTCAAACAGGCAGTTGAAAACATGGGTATGTGGAGCTTGCAAATTAGGACTGGACTGATCTTTAAAGCTATAAGAACAGATGAAATCATTCAAGGAGAGAGAGCATAGAAAAGAAGACCTGAGCCAACATGTGGTACAGGAAAGTCAGTTTCTTAAAATGAAGTTTCTATGACTTTTTTTGGAGGAAGTTATCATAATGAACATTTTAATTTTATTATCTATTTTAGAAATTAGTTCTCTTGGAGAAAACTGGAACTATCTCCACCAAGCTGAATCTGGATAATAGAGACAAATAGAAAATATTAAAAAGAAAAGTTGAGCATATGTTTACTAGGACTAAGACCTTGAAGAATGTGATAAATATTTTCACTAAATACAGAAAATATTGATATACCATTACCTGGGGTCCTTCACAGATCAAGAGAAGCCTGGGACTCCTCCAATATTTTCCTAAGCCTCCTAATATAGATAAATATAGATACAGTTTACATACTGATATGTACTCTAATGAAAACATGCCAAAACAAATTACAAAATAATATTGTTATAATTTACATATTTACTGTTTAAAAATTTGGTATTTTAATGTAAGTAAAGACTGAGTTGATGCAAAAGCCTAAGTTTGATGCCATTTGTGAGTGCAAGATCCAGATCTCCCCCCCTACTCCCTACACTCTTCCATTCCCTCTGATGCCAACCACTGTGATAACTTTGGACCCAAAGAGGGAAGAACTCACCTTGGAGTGGGAATGATGTTTCTTTTCTTCCCTGATGTCCTCTTTGTCAATAAACAAACTTTGAACCATAGGCTGTAGAAGAGGAGGCATCATCTACTCTCGGGCTGAGGCAATTGTAGGGCTGGACTTCAGGCTGGGTGGATGTCTGGGTGGGCTGGACTTCCCTGTGGAAGGAGTTGGGCTGAGATACTCAGATTAGGAGCCTCAAAAGAGTAGCCAAGGCTAGTAGCAGGATAAGCAGTCCTCTGTGAGATTCCTTCTCCAAGTGTTTAGAGAAGAGTTGTTAAAAACCATCGCCTGGATTTAAGTGGGAATGAAAGAAGACATTTGAATTCATGCCTACAGTGGATTAGTGCCAGGAGAGAAAATTAGCCTGGAAAAGAGTTATAGGACTGTACATTGTGACCTGATTTTCCAAGGTCACGGGTGATTCATTTGATGTTCACATTGTTGGCAGAAGGGGCTAAACAACCACCAGGCGGATTTGTGGAGTATTCAAGCATTCTTCCTGGATTCTTGTGGTTTCTTTGCAAGTGGAATACAAGGTAGGGATGGATTTTCCTTGGGATGGGGCTTAGAAAATGAGCACTGGAGATATAAATAAAAAGTATGACCTCAAGATGGTTTCTTCATACCAAAAGTATGGTTTCAAGATGTAACAATGAGGAAATATGTCTGGTAAAGATGTGGTAACATTCATTATGTGTAAGAGAGTCATTCTGCTGTGTTTTGAAACAAGTATAAAGACTGTCTGATGTTTCGGTACTTATAATCACAGAGATAATATACTGATGTGAAAAGTTGAGTAAACATATAAAGCTATAATCCAATTAATGTCACCTATAATTAACGGGTAAATAAAGTCTAGGATGTGAGTTTGGGGTAGTTTGTTCTGGGAAGATTTCTGCTGGGCAGAAGAACTTGAGCTGGATCTAGATAAGAGAACAGGAAATTACTCCCAGAGTCAGATTAGAGAGAAGATATATAATCAGAACTTTATAGAGTCTGGGATTCTACAAAGCAAAGTGTGTTTTCAGATAAGAGAGAGGAGAAAAGGATCCATCCTCTGGAGATCCCTTTGGAGTCTGTACAGGCACCGCTCACTCTGCATTACTTCTTCTTAATCTGCAAGTATCACATCTTTCGTTCTACCGTAATTATAAATTGAGTTCTTACTATGTGCAATGCAATGTGTTAGGTGTTTGGACAATTAACAACAAAAACGTCAATGACACAGTATGATTAATGATTGAAGTGATGATAACAATCACATGTCACATTTATTTGGATGCTGTATTATTTTCCTAGGGTTTCTGTAACAAATTACCACAAACCAGGTGGCTTAAAACAACAGAAATGTATTATCTCACAGTTCTGGAGGCTAGAAGTCAGAAGTCAGGGTGTTGGCAGAGTTGGTTCCTTCTGGAGGCTCCGAGAAGGAGACCATCCCATGCCTCTCTCCTAGCTGCTGAGGGGGTCGAAGGTAATTTCTTGTCTTGTAATTGCATCACTCTCATCTCTGTCTCTGTCTTCAGATGGCATTCTCCTCTCCGTGTCTATCTTTGTGTCTCTATTTTATCTCCTTATAAGGGCACTAGTCAGTGAATTAGGGTCCACTCTAATCCAGGATGACCTCATTCTAATTACTTTCATCTGTAAAGACCCTATGTCCAAACAAGATCACATTCACAGGAATCAGGGGCTAGGATTTGAACATATCTTTTTTGGGGACACAATTCTACCCACTACAGATAACAACCGTGTGCACTGTGCCAAAGGTTCTGCATTATCTCACCCAATGCTCACAATGGGTGAGATTGATACTATTGTTATCCCAAATCTGATTTCCAGACTTTTATCCCCAGAACTCCAGAGTTGTAAATTCAACTGCTGCTTGACATTTCTACATGGTTTCTGATTTTCCTTCAGTTTTCTCAATCTTAGTAAATGGCATTACTATTCACTTAACTGTTCAAGCTTAAAATCCAAGAGTAATTCTTAATTTCTCATTTTCCCATAAAACCAGTCTAACCCAATTTAGTAGGTCCTGCTATCCTGTTCTCAAGAACAGAAACAAAACCCCTGAAGACCAAAAAATTCCTGAATTGATCTCCTTCTTCCCATTTATTCACTTCTCTCTGCATGAGTTATCTCTTCCGAGATAATGATTTATGCTGAAACTTTATGGCTTAAAAAAACAAACATTGGGCTTCCCTGGTGGCACAGTGGTTGAGAATCCGCCTGCCGATGCAGGGGACACGGGTTCGTGCCCCGGTCCAGGAAGATCCCACATGCAGCGGAGCGGCTGGGCCTGTGAGCCATGGCTGCTGAGCCTGCGCGTCTGGAGCCTGTGCTCCGCAACGGGAGAGGCCACAACAGTGAGAGGCCCACGTTACCGCAAAACAAAACAAAACATTATTCCACAGTTTGTGTAGGTCAGGAATCCAGGTGCAGTATAGTGTCATTGACTCAAGGTCTCTCCTGAGGTTTCAGTTAAGGTATCAGTGGGGCTGTGGTTTTATCTGAAGGCATGAGTGCTAGGGAGAGGGATTTGCCTTTAAGCTCACTCACACGCTTGCTGGCAGATCTTCAACTTTCACCATGTGGGATTCTCTGCAGGGCTGCTTCACATTACTGCAGCTGATTTCCACCAGGGCGACTGATGAGGGAGGCTAGAGAGGGAGAGAGAGGAAGAGAGAGGGAACCCAGCATGAAAGCTGGAGTCTTTTTAGAACGAAACAACAGAAGAGACATGCCCACCACTTCTGCTATATTCTATTGTTTAGAGGCAAGTCAGTAAATCAAGTTCACACTCAAGGAGACGGGAGTTATACAAGAGTATGATTACTAGGAAGCAGGGGTCGTTGAGACTATCTTAAAGGCTGATTACTACAACAGGGCAGGTGCTCACAATATCCAGCAGAAAACAAGAGTTGAAGGGCTACTCAGCTGAGCAGATATTTCAAGAGCCACAAGGTGCTGGGGCAACAGAGATTGAAGTTCAAGCCTGATAAAGTGGAGGAGAATAGGTAAATAGTCCAGGCTTTCAGTCAAAACCCTAGAAGAGGCACATCTGTTTTTTTTGTTTGTTTGTTTGTTTGCGGTGCGCGGGCCTCTCACTGCTGCGGCCTCTCCGGCTGCGGAGCCCAGGCTCCGGACGCGCAGGCTCAGCGGCCATGGCTCACGGGCCCAGCCGCTCCGCGGCATGTGGGATCCTCCCGGACCGGGGGACGAACCCGCGTCCCCCGCATCAGCAGGTGGACTTTCAACCACTGCGCCACCAGGGAAGCCCAAGAGGCACATCTTAACGGTAAGTTCTACACTCTATTCTCACCAACCAGAAAATATATACTTTATTCAACTATATACAGAGCACTCACCAAAATAGGCCATATGCTGGGCCAAAATCAAGGTTCAACAAATTTCAAACGATTGAAATCATGCAGAACATGTATTTATTTTAAACAGCTTTATTGGAGTATAATTGCTTTACAATGGTGTGTTAGTTTCTGCTTTATAACAAAGTGAATCATCTGTACATATACATATATCCCCATATCTCCTCCCTCTTGCATCTCCCTCCCTCCCACCCTCCCTATCCCACCCCTCTAGGTGGTCACAAAGCACCGAGCTGATCTCCCTGTGCTATGCGGCTACTTCCCACTAGCTATCGATTTTACATTTGGTAGTGTATATATGTCCATGCCACTCTCTCACTTCGTTCCAGCTTACCCTTCCCCCTCCCCATGTCCTCAAGTCCATTCTCTACGTCTGAGTCTTTCTTCCTGTCCTGCCCCTAGGTTCTTCAGAACTATATATATATATATATATATATATATTAGATTCCATTAGATTCCATTAGAATCCATTAGATTCAGAACTATATATATATATATATATATATATATTAGATTCCATATATATGTGTTAGCGTATAGTATTTGTTTTTCTCTTTCTGACTTACTTCACTCTGTATGACAGACTCTAGGTCCATCCACCTCACTACAAATAACTCAGTTTCGTTTCTTTTTATGGCTGACTAACATTCCATTGCATATATGTGCCACATCTTCTTTATCCATTCATCTGTCAGTGGACACTTAGGTTGCTTCCATGTCCTGGGTACTGTAAACAGAGCTGCAATGAGCACTGTGGTACAAGACTCTTTTTGAATTATGGTTTCTCAAGGTATATGCCCAGTAATGGGATTGCTGGGTCGCATGGTAGTTCTATTTTTAGTTTTTTGAGGAACCTCCATACTGTTCTCCATAGTGGCTGTATCAATTTGCATTCCCACCAACAGTGCAAGAGGGTTCCATTTTCTCCACACCCTCTCCAGCATTCATTGTCTATAGATTTTTCGATGATGGCCATTCTGACTGTTGTGAGATGATATCTCATTGTAGTTTTGATTTGCATTTCTCTAATGGTTAATGATGTTGAGCATTCTTTCATGTGTTTGTTGGCAATCTGTATATCTTCTTTGGAGAAATGCCTATGTAGGTCTTCTGCCCATTTTTGGATTGCGTTGTTTGTTTTTTTGATATTCAGCTGCATGAGCTGCTTGTAAACTTTGGAGATTAATCCCTTGTCAGTTGCTTCATTTACAAATATTTTCTCCCATTCTGAGGGTTGTCTTTTGGTCTTGTTTATGGTTTCCTTTGCTGTGCAAAAGCTTTTAAGTTTCATTAGGTCACATTTGTTTATTTTTGTTTTTATTTCCATTACTCTAGGAGGTGGGTCAAAAAGGATCTTGCTGTGATTTATGTCATAGAGTGTTCTGCCTATGTTTTCCTCTAAGAGTTTCATTGTGTCTGGCCTTACACTTAGGTCTTTAATCCATTTTGAATTTATTTTTGTGTATGGTGTTAAGGAGGGTTCTAATTTCATTCTTTTACATGTAACTGTCCAGTTTTCCCAGCACCACTTATTGAAGAGGCTGTCTTTTCTCCATTGTATATTCTTGCCCCCTTTATCAAAGATAAGGTGACCATGTGTGCATGGGTTTATCTCTGGGCTTTCTATCCTGTTCCATTGATCTATATATCTGTTTTTGTGCCAGTACCATACTGTCTTGATTACTGTAGCTTTGTAGTATAATCTGAAGTCCAGGAGCCTGATTCTTGCAGCTCAATTTTTCTTTCTCAAAATTGTTTTGGCTATTTGGGGTCTTTTGTGTTTCCATTAAAATTGTGAAATTTTTTGTTCTAGCTCTGTTAAAAATACCATTCATAGTTTGATAGGGATTGCATTGACTCTGTAGATTGCTTTGAGTAGTATAGTCATTTTCACAATGTTGATTCTTCCAATCCAAGAATATGGTATATCTCTCCATCTGTTTGTATCATCTTTATTTCTTTCATCAGTGTCTTATAGTTTTCTGTATACAGGTCCTTTTTTTCCTTAGGTAGGTTTATTCCTAGGTATTTTATTCTTTTTGTTGCAATGGTAAATGGGAGTGTTTCCTTAATTTCTCT